GTCGTAACGGCCCACTGCATTTACTCAAACCACACAGCAGCACACAGCTATTAGCTTAGCTACGTTCAAGTTGTAAATGCGCAGGTCCACGGGAGCGCACTTCACGTGCGCAAACCGGGCCGTCGAAGGCTTCGAATGCGGGAATATGTATATATTAATATTATATTAGCTTATAATATGCAGTATATGATAGCATTACGGCACAAGCACGACTACATTAACTATAAATAACACTTGACGCTGAACTAGCTATTAGTCACCTACTATATATGTATATAAGCTTAAGTCTATACGATATGCACACATAACACACACACACTAGCACACACAGCTCAGTATGTATATGTGACTGTGTGTATAATATTAATATACACATACACACACCACACATCACCTACATTATATAATATATATATCAAATTATATATATATATATATAGTAATATATACTAATTTATATATATGTTAAATTATTGTTAATATTATAATATGTATATATAATGTATAATGATATATTATAATATATATTAATTAATATATATTAATATAATATATATATATAATATATGATATATATATATATATCAACTATGCATTACATTAATATAGGTACAGGGATTAGGGTTTAATAACTGATAGATATATCATACAATACCATCATCCATACGCACGCGAACGCCACACCGCACTGCCGCACACACTACACACACACACATGACACCACCACACACACACCACACATATAGGGTTATGCAATAATCACCAGTTAGAAAGTATTAACTACACAATATTATTATACTATTATATATATTTGTTAATACATGTATAATGTTATATGATATGCTATGTATATGTGTATATATATATGTATATATAATATATATGTGTCGTGGTGTGTGTGTGTGTGTGTGTGTGCTGATGTGTGTGTTGATAGTGTGTGGAGTGTATGTGTGTTGATGTGTGTGTGTTTTGTGTGTGGTGGTCATGTCTGTGTGTGCATGTCTGTGTGGGTGCATGTGTGTGTGTGATGGTTGTAGTGTGTGTGTGTGTGTGTGTGTGACTGTGTACTGTAGTGTGTGTTGAGAGGTGTATTGGTGTATTTGTTGTGTGTGTGTTGTGTTTATGTGAGGGTGTTAATATCAAAATATACATCTATAATCCATATCATCTATATTTTTTTCACTATCACACACACATCATATATAATAGCATATATTCTACTCTATTATCTCTCTTCACTATCATACTTACTATTTACTACTCTTACTCATTATCTTATATC